AAGGTATACAAGAAACTTGGTGCGGACAGACGAATCAAGAGCATGTACGCGCACTATCAAATCTTCCTTTGCCTGGTAAAGTTCGACCTGTTCTTCTGGGTCGGCTTTTCCGTGCAGTTCATCTGGCTTGTTCTCAACCACGGAGATGCGGAGTACTACCTCACCTGTGCTGCCCTACCCGTTTCAATATTGGTACTCGTGGAGGGCCATCTTGCTGCACGGTACGAGAGCAAGTGGATGATGATCACTTTCATGGGTGGATGCGCGGCGGCCATGGTTTATTTCACATACAAGGTAAGTTTTGCCCGTGGAATGTTCGGCTAGGTCGCGAGATTGACACAGGCACACAGCTTGTGAAGGTTTTGAGATACCGCGATACGGATACCTTCGTCCTTGTTTGGAAGACCATGACATGTTTTTGTGAGTGTAAACTGGCACAGTCGTTACAAGCATATTTGTGCTGACTTCGATTCAGCCGTACTCGCGATCGTGTTACTTATCGCGACCGTGGTCTTCACGTGCTTGGTGATGAGGAATTTCGGGCGAGGACTGAAGACGCAAAGTATGTGAAGTCACTAGTCACTAACTCGCTGATCTCTCAACTATTCGCTCTGCAGTGCAAAGGAACAAGAACAAGACTGGCCTTCAGCGTGGAAAGTCACAATACGCGCATAACGGGTCAATGTCCACACATCCAAACCGGATGAGTATTGACTAATGCCCCCATTTCGTTTTGCGATCCACGGACCATGACCTTGTAATTTCTATGTACTTCTGCCACCACCAGTTCCTCTAGCCGTACGGACCTCTCTCTCAGTCACATACAACACCATTCTCGTTTCCTCCCTTCCTCCACCCCTCTACTCTGTCTCGGGTACATACGTGGTCTTTTTTCTCTGTGCATAGCTCACATCGGGTTGTTAGATACCCACCATTCTCAGAACAGAACCTGCACCATGCTTTTGGTGGCCGGTCTAACAGAAGCAAGGTTCTCTCTCCGACCGTCCAGTATTTCACCTCGATCTCACTGCCCTTCTCTACACACCTTTACTTATCCTGTTTATCGACGTATCCTATTACAAGATTCGATTTTCACCGACGTCGGTGTACATACATTCTTCAACTTCACACTAAAGTTCCCATATCTCCGACTTGCCCGACCCCCCTCGCATTGGTCATCTTACAGTAGTCTCTACAATTGTATTGTTACGACTCAGCCTAATGCCCATGCGACGGGCACATCTCCTTGCACCTCGGATTCTGTGACGACAGTCAGTATCTGAGAGAGAGAAACTGCAGCACCTCAGACGACGTGGCTGAAAGCTCTTGCGCGCCTATTAGACTTGTTTCCTTCAAACGCACTCACGAATGACGACCACAGCTGGCTTGCTCGTCGCTCCAACACACTAAACAAGAAATGTCGCAGCGGTACGTATTGCTCTTTGCACACAAACCACAACAGGATCGCTGATACCAGTACCACTCGGAGCAGGTTACGAGTCAACCGCAACCATACTTTACTTCCGGAGTACCAGACTCCTCCGTCCTCAGGACGGTCCTCCCCGTTCGGCGGACATCAGTATCAACCGCAGGGACATCGGTTTGCGGATGATTTGGAGGGCCAGAATGATGAGCACCTGGAGGGGTTGACGGCAAAGGTGAAGCTGTTGAAGGATGTGAGTGCTTACTTCTCCGTGCGGATGAGGTGCGGGGGATTGGGACGGGAGAGAGAGGAGAGAGAGAGGAATGGGGCATTAAGATTGCACGCTGACTTTTATGTTTCGTGTTTCGTTCATAGATTACGATTGGAATTGGGAACGAAGTAAAGGACTCGACGATCCAGCTCAGCCAAATGGTGCGTCGAACCTCCATGCTCATTCTCCACTGAACCGAACTCCCCCTCTTACATTACACCTCTGGTTTGATATTAGAACGACGCATTCGCAGAGACGGGCGACATCCTAGCCGGTACGTTCAGACGGATGAACAACATGGCGCAACGACAGGGATGTCGGTGGCTGTGGTACATCGTCTTCCTCGTCCTCGTCTTCTGGTTCTTCATCGTCGTTTGGTGGTTTCGGAGATAGCAACTTCTCTCCTGTGTTGATCGCTTCGTTCCTTGGGTTATGTGTGTACCGCACGGACATTTGTTTTGTTTTCGTTCTTGTTAATCGCCACGGTACATCGCCCGCACCCTATATTCATTTGCTTGCAATAGCGGATCCAGTTCTGTTGACCAGTGGGGGCTTGAAATTTCGACACTCGATACCAGGACGAGGCAAAACAAGTTTCGGAGCTGTGTTGCCGAATTATGCTATCATGCGCAAGAATCTGTAGCTGGAGTTGAACGCAGTGGCCAACACAAAATATAAAGCCAAATAAGAGATAAGGTATCCGTACAAGACAAGAAGGCGAAATATGTAACGTCCGGGGTAATAAGTGGCACTAAGAAGTAGAGAAAGGAGACGAACAGAACAACTACGTTATGAATCGTCACGAAGCCGACCATTGCATATCTCCCAAATCATGCGTCTCCGTAGATATGGCATGTTCTTTTGTGTGAACGGGAAGTGCTTCTCGCCTCGCGCCAGGGTTGCGAGGAACTGGCAGGTGAACACGCCGCAATCATAGCCGTTCTCCTGCTGTGGCACATCCTACAAGAAAATGAGGCGTCAGTTGCGATATACGTGGTCTGTCCACCATGCAAGACGTACCTCCATGTCGTAGTCTTCCCATCCCGTCCAGTCAAACTCTTTCTTCTTCTTGTTCCGATGCTCATCGCTGACATACTGTCGCAAAAGCTATGATAGATTCGTAAGGCGTACATAACTACCACCAAGCCGCATAACTGCATGCACACCTTGTATACCGATGTACGGTCCATGCCCATGCTGTCGTACGACTCTATCCGTTTATCCCGGAAGTTGATAGCGGCGGCGGTCCAGTGAGCGTTGTTGTGATTCACTGGTATCAGCACTATGTCCTTTTGGAAAATGTCGAACTACAACGCTACCATGAGTAAAGCGTGAAAGAGAACGATTAGAGGCAGCACGCACCGATTTCGTCCATTTTGCCAATCTACCCTTCTCATAGCCCGACGATTTCAACTTGCTCCAGAAGAATGTGCTGAACTGGTGAACCTTTGGTCTCTTCATTCCTGCAACGTCATTCTCTTTGTTTTCCTCCGAGCTCTGTTGAATGAGAGCACCGTAGAAGTTGATGATCTCATCGTTCAGCCACTGCCCGGGTCTCAACCTTGAGAGGTCTTGCTCGCCAACCTGCTCACGAGCGCACTTCCACACCTTCCCGCGTGATCGCAGGTATTTGTCCACTTGGGCATCAGCCTCAGGCGGTAACGAAGTTGGGAAGGGCGGCCGAATACGCTGGTCGATTTTCTTGTTCTTCTCTGCTTGAGCAGCCTGTAACCTCTCGAGGTTTCCGGAGAATGGCGGTGCCGGTTTTGGTCTATAGAACCATTAACAGCGCAGACACAGACAGATCAGAACCAAACATACGATCTGATGGTCGCATGAGCCCTGTCAAGTGCTCTCCTGAAGATTTGCTGTAACAGGATGTTAAGTACCAGGATCATATGCATAGAAGCTGAGCTGAATTACCGCATCCGCCGAATGTCGTCTGTTCTTATCTAGCTCTTGACTCCTAGCCCTTGCACGCAAGTCCAACACAGAGGAATGTGCTAAAGGTGCTCCTTGTGAGCGAGAACGAAGGTGGGACATTGACTACTTACAAGCCAGCGATTCGCCCAATTTCATGAGTTTCTTTTTAAACTCCCACCAATCTAAGGTAAAGAATCAATTTGGTGAAAGCGATGACCTTGTCGATGTTACATACCTTCAAATTCGCTGAACGACCCGCTGAAACCTACAAAAATTCTCATATAAACCTGTATAGCATGAGAATTTATTCATTCAACGTACTGTGTGTCTCCTGTAACTGTTGATACGCTTCCCTCTTCATTTCCTCGCGGGTTTTCTCGTTCTCTTCCCGAACAGCGGCTTTGTGCTTGCAGAATATCGATGTCAGTTGACAAATTTGTACCGGTTGAAAGTGACCCACTAACCTTTTGAGCAAAGATGTGCTGCCTGCGATCCGTCCGCGGCACAAGTTCCTTGCCATACCGTTTCCTATCCGCGTTCGCCAGTGCTTCGTCGAGTTCGGCGGGCATGCCTATGAAAGACACGGAAGATGCGCTTGAGCTGACAGTCGAAAGTGTGGTAGGAGGTGATGGTAGACCTGTCCCCGACTTCTGAGCATCCACACCCCTTGCAGTTTGTGAGATAGAAGGATGAGAAACGGATCGAGCCGGCGGCGGAAGCAGTGGCCGGCGTGCAGGTGGATGGTCGCGGGATTGGGGGAGAGGTTTGTGAGGGCGAGATCTGGCGTCATGGCTTGAGCACGATCTTCGTGGTGGCGAGTCTGCAGGCGGCGGTGTAGGCAAGGGGACGTGCTCTTCGAAGGGTTCCTCTGTCGACTTGCCTATGGGGTAGCAATGTGAAAAGAGGGATACAGATGGGAGAGAAACATCGGTACGAACCAAAGAACGAGGACAAAGTGTCGCGACCGAGCTCCATAAACTCTGCGACAATCGCCGTCCAGCGAGCCATGAGTCCTACTTCTTGGGACGGGGTAGCGTTTCCACAAAGAGGATGATGGCGTGTTGTCCTTGCAACTTTAGCGGCACGTAAAGGAAGAAGGGGCTCTGCTCGTCGTTTCCGTGCGTTCATTGACAACGCTTGTGGGAGTTAAGAGCAAATAATGCCGACAGAGAGGCGAGATGGCGAAATGAAGAGGAGATGAAAGACAGAAGTAGCCCGAGGCTCAGTCTGCTGCAGACGTTCGGAAGCAAGAGGTTAGGCGCTCGTGCGCTCAGGTTCGCGTCGCTTCTGGGCTCGATTCTCATTTCACGTAGTTCGTCCAGCAGGACATACATATTCTCAGTATGTGTATGCGGGGGCACCAAGGTAATCAGCAAAAAATGATGCTCGGAATGAGGATCGAACTCATGACCTCAGGATTGCTGCGTATTTCACAGTCATACGAAAGTATGAGACCTGCGCTCTAACCAACTGAGCCATCCAAGCTTATTGCACAGGGGGACTTAGAGAATTACGACTCGTGTTGACCAGTCGTCGGTTCCAAAAAGCGATTCATTAATATTGTCTACCCGCCATCGAGAAAGCTAGGAGCGTGCTGGTATGCAAATTCGTCAATGTGATCATTTGGATGCACCAGTAGTAGATGTTGATCGCCTGAGCAAGGTCCGATGCGGACAAAGCCCCTCATCTGAGAAACTCATGTCACCGGAGGTCTGAAGATGGACGGACGGCCAACGACCTGAAAGACGAGGTACAAACCCCGCCGATCCTGATAGACCCCATGCAAGATAACGAATTCGGAAGAATAATTCCTAAGACGAGGATAAAATCATATGAGCTAATTCACTGAACACTCGTCTGATCTCCAGACGGTAATGAAGCTATGCCACGAAAATTCGGTGATTGATATGGCTTCTGCGGTCGAAAGTCCTTGGTGATGCACCCGGTATTCTTCCCGCGAAGTTGGTCTGACAGTCTGACTTCAGTGTCACAAGACTGCCCCGGTAGTGGCGGTGAAAACAACCCATTCTGACGTTTTATTCTCGTTCGTTTGACGTGCGGGCAACGACGAGTTGGACGCGACGGCGTAATACGAGTAGGCGTGAGTACCGGGCTTGTACTGTTGAAGATCTGCTCATCAACTCTCTTGAGTGCTCGTTCAATATCAAAACACAGTGGGGGACTGTACCAAATGATGGGCATTGGGTTCGCGAGAAACCGGAACAACTGTTGAGGTCTCCAGCTTCACCTTTCCACGCGATTGTGGATTGCGTGAGCAGTTGGCCACGGTATCTGGTGGATCAGGCATTGATAGCCTTCGATACCATTGCGCAACTGACAGAAAGTCCTTCAACAGGCATCCACGGACGAGTTGGGGACAGTCAACATTCACACCGCGAGACAAGCGTCTTCCGGAGTTCTGATGTTTTGGAGGGAACACTGGGATATGTTATGGCGTTAGTGCGTCGATATCGTGGTCGGCTGCGGCGGAACGGGCGTACCAGTGTACCATAGGCGTACCTCTGATTCTGACACGGTCTGGAGCCTGACCGGAACAGAGAGGGTGTATAATGAAGATGTGGTATCGTTCCGTCAGAGTTTCGTGCCGAATGACACCATCGTGTGAGGGGTTCTCCCAGGGCCGTTTCTCTGGATTGGGGCCAATTACAGCATGCAGCGACGATAAACCCCAATGTGCACTTAATGTGCGATTTATCGTTGAGACATCTGTGCACCGATATAGAGCCAGATACAGGCCGCAGAAACGAGGAAAGAGATTGATGGTGGATGAGAGGAGTTTCCATAAGCGGGTAGCCGAGGGGAAGCGTGGATGAAAGCACTTGAGCTCAGCCAGGCTCAGCCCTGCGCCTGACTGCTCCGAGCCTCTCTCCTCCGACCGCTATATATCTCCTGACTCACCCCCTTCCCTCCCTTATCGTCCTTTTCCTCTAGCCTACGTCCACGACAACGTCTGTACTTGCAGTCCCAAGCAATTCATAGCCAGTACTTCCTCTGATTACATCTAGCCACAATGGGCATGAGCTACCGTCGCTATCTTACCGGTGCCCGCATCTATGGGTGCTCAACCTGCCGTACTCACCTCGCCACCATCCATTCCATGATGTCTCGGGTAAGGCTGCTCTTTCTTCGGTGCAGTGTCTGGAGACTGACGGTGAGCTTTGTTGTTTCCAGGCTTTCAACGGTCAGCATGGACGGGCATACCTCTTTGACGGAGTGTGAGTTCCTTTGTGCCCGCAGACCTCCACCTGACTAACATGCACCGCTCACCAGTGTGAACGTGATTGAGGGAGAACCTAACGACAGACAAATGACCACTGGTAACCACACCGTCCGCGATATCTACTGCATAAAGTGTGGTACAACCTTGGGATGGAAATATGTGCGTATGACGTCTTACCCGTCTGAGCACCCGAATGCTAAAGTTGTACATGGTGGTTACCTTTCATCCTTTGATCAGGACCGAGCATACGAGCCTTCCCAAAAGTACAAAGAAGGCAAATTCATTCTCGAGCGCAACCTCCTCGTGGATGTTCAGTGACCGTCCTTGCCGACATTCGCCTCGCCCTCCCTCTACCGCCATCCAAGCATCCTAGTACCTGGTAACTTAAAGTCGTACTATGGCGGCACGCGGACGAAACACTCTCGGTCGCCAGTTACATCGGTCTTGGTCAATTGCTCTACCTGTCAACAACACATCAACGACAACACTCACATCACACCACCACATTCACCACCATCACCACCAACCACCCATTCACTGTATATCCTTTCCCCTCGCAGGATTGTGCGATTGTACCATTATCCTCCGACTGGGATTCGTATTACATAACGTTCGAGGAGGACGGCAGAGTTGCGACATGCGCTCTGTCTCTGAAGTCCCCTCTGGTGCGGCTCCTGAAAGGTTAGGGGGCGCGCATTCTAGAGCGCGTTAGGCTTGGAGGGGAGGCATTCCATGACGTCTCCGTTCCTGCTTGATCCTTTTCTCTTTCTGCCCGTGTTCGCTGAACCTATTTCAGCGCCCCTTGTACATCTGTAACGATATCGAGAGTTCTGTTTCTCAAGACGTTAGTTTCTCCTTCCTTGTCTTGTGGACAGATTTTCCCCGGCTCTCTGCTCCCCTCCCTCTTTCACATTTGTACTTAGAGTTCTACTCGCCCCTCCCTTTCTCTTTCTCGTTGTTCTTGTACTCAAGTATGTTTACACGGGGACGTTGAGTCGATGAAGTCTTTGATCTCATGTATATGAATTGAATGTACCATACGAAGTTCGTTGAAGTATGACGCAATGGATACAAGCTTGACGTCGGTAGCAATGCTGTCGGTACAGCATGTCGATACCACGTTGACAATATTAATAATTGCAGCTGGTGATGAACATAATCGTATGTCTTTCAAACACACCGCTTGGTGGTGTCAAGGCCTCCTATCAATAGAATGTGCCCATCCTGCTATCTACCCCATGGTACTCTCCCCCAGGCCCGTAGCTTACTCTTGCGCACTACGCAGGACCGCAGGTGCAAGAGTTCGGATGACCGGACCAAACATCCTTGTCGTCACGTGGTCAACCGATGAACGATCTAGAACATTTCACGACCGCTTTTCCAATGGATGTTTCTTTGGAGCTTACAGAGTTAAGCTTGCCGTCCTTCAAGATCTCACAACTGTCAATAGAACCGGTTATGCACAGTAGAAAGACCGGTATGTGTGATGATTGTGAACAGTATGTACGGGGCTCAACGTGAACGTGCTGATGGGATGACTGTGAAACGTGCTACCAGACCGTGACCGATAGGCTTGTCCCGCGGTAGGTCACTGCCACAGTATGAGCGGGTGAGCCGACGGGCGGGACGGAGACAGGGAGTGGCTGATGCATGTGCCCGAGCATCACGCCTTGCGCAAGGGAGCGGAGGGTGGGCAACAGAGAGGAGGCAGAATGGTCGGCCGAGAGTGGGAGATGTTTGGGAAGTTTTGGGGATGGAGAAGGGTCGTTGAGTGGGTCGTAGCGCCCAGGTCAAAGAGGGGGAGTGTTTGTGCGTGTTTGCCCTGTGCTGAAAACCGTTGGGGAAGAGGCGCGGGAGGTGTTACAAGTACAGCGTCCCCCAACCATCCTACTCCTCCACTCCCTGCCGCTTTCACCTGCCATCATCCAGTCTAGACGTCCTCTCCTCATTCTCATTCTCGTACCACTTTCTTCTCTGTCTAATCAAAAATGGGTATGTTCGTCCGACCAACTCCCTACCAACCACACTAACCAACCTCCTTTCAATCATGCACGTACAGCCACCATGACAATGCATGCCCACTCTTACACCCCCATCACCTCAAAGCCCGCCATCTCCTCACCACTCGCCGCGTCCAATCCTGCACAACGGCCGCTGCACCAGCGCACAAACTCATCGTCCCCCGCCTTCCCCACCTCGCGCCCCCTCCGTCCGTTCCCCTCCATCAACACCAACTTCCCGTCGAAACGCTCGAATGGCGCGCCCGCGAAACCCGTAAAGATCATTGAACCACCAAAGAACTTCAGGGGGGAATGGGTCTTGAACCTCACCCAGGCAGAGCTGAGCCGCCAGGATTGAGCGTGCACATCGTCGTGTCGCGCTATTTATTGGGCCAAGGGCTGGAGCACGGACTGGTGTCCCTGCGTCGCGTGGCAGGCAGAGCGGGGAACAACCTGCGCGGTTGACACCCCTCACGGATCCCCTCGGAAGACCTTTACTGGAGGACTCGCGTTTCTATCGTTTTCAAAATATCGGAAAGAACTGAAATCACTTTCTTCATCCATTGTCGTCCCCTCATCTCGTTTCCCTTCAGGTCATTGTAGAATTAGAGCATTTCCCCTTTTCTCCCCGCAAACGGGCCCCCTACGAACATCGTTTTAGTACATTTCTTAAGCCCTCTACCCTACCGCTTCCCTTTGTAACCTCTAGTGTCCCACCTTTGGACTTCTTCAGAACGCTGTTGCATTCTTGTCTCCTTCTTTTCCCTCACAGTATCACCCCAATGCGCCTGGCCCTTGCCCCATTGGTTGTACACAAGGTTTCGGCCAATCCTCGCGGTTGGTGTATCTGTTTGGAGTGGTGGCTTGTTCCTTGCGTATGTAGCTACTGCGGTCATAGCTTGGGATATGTATACCCTCTTCAAAGTTTCATGTTGATGACGAACAACTCAGCGACACTGCCATGACGAAATTACTATAGTTGCTTATTAAGGCAGACACTATCTCAATTTGGTACCCGCCGATCACTCTCGCAACGTGCTTGATCTTCAGCGCTGCAACTCCGACGGTCCTCTCTTTCGATACCAGCAGCAGCAGCCACCATACAAACGCTGCGCTAGATTCTTTGTCATGAAATCACTCCTTTCTGCAGGCAAAATCTTGAATTCAGCGAGAGCAGCGTTCTCTGCTCTACGACGAGCATTTCGGTGCAACCCGGAGATCTAAGCCAAAAACAGTCAACTCCT